CTGAATCTGGCTCAGGAGAGTTGTGAGTTTAGATATTAATAACAACCGAACACGTTGCAGCACTGAAGTGCGTTTTGGAGAGCTCCCACTCACAGAAGTACTCGGTAAAGGCTTAGTGGTGCTCCTGTTCACCCTGCTCCTTTGTAGCAGGGAGTCCTAGGGCAGGACCCAGGGCTGTAAGTCCAGGTGTCCCTGCCTTTCCTTCTTGCTAACAGCCACCACACCCCGCGGCAGACTATCCTCGCTCCAAGCTTCTGCTCCCTAGCATCGATCTCAAGGTTTGCCCTCACATGCAGCTGGTTTCCAGTATCTGGGATCTGTTGTACATGCCCAAGCACACTGAAAGGAGTAAATAATTTACACGTCAAGGGCAAAATACTTCCGTTTCTGAAGAGTCCGGGCCACTGAATGTTGCCTTTCGTGAGCAAACCGATTACAACTGGTTACTGCAAAGTAGCACTTTGTTTTCCTACTTCACTGGGGTTCCCCGGGGATCAATTAGCTCATGCTTATTTAACCTTCTGGAATCCAAATGATACAATGCTTTGACAATATGAATCACTATCAGTGCTAAGCATGCTTAATAATGATCATGACCATGCTACATCTCCACTGGAAACAGCACTAAGTACATCATTGCTTGCATTACAGTGTTAGACAGCAGGTCGTAAGACTTGATTGAAACTGTAGCTATAAGAAACATCAGATCTCCATGTTCCTGTGCCACAATCACAAGAGCCTGCTGAACCCACTGTGCCTTTTGGTACAGTAGCAAGCTCCAAACAAACACGTAATACTCCTCAGTCTTAGGGCTTGCAGACTCCAGCAGGTCTAACATGCAGACAAGGGCTTGCTCTGGGGTGACTACAACCAGAGCAAGCCCTCATCCTGCTGGATATTTTACCTAGTGTGACTGGAAATACTCCAAGTAAACCTGAGGCTTCCTTTGTGCTTTTAATTATGGGTAAGTCAGCCATGCCCAAGCCTGTACTTGGGCGCAACGTGTGTGACCCACCTGTGCTTGAACAGATCAGAAACAGATGCCCTGCCAAGGTACTTCTGCAGGAATCAGTGTCTTGTTAGAGAAATCCCTCAGGAGCAGCTCCTCGCCAGAAGCCACAAGAGCGTTTTAAAGGAGATCACTTGGTCACGGGGATATTAAGCAAAGAAATTAAAAGAGTAATGTGAAATAGTATGTAGCATTAATAGGATTTCAGCTTGTAACTGCAAGCAGGTGATCATTTCTCAAAGCATTAATTGGCACAGTGCAATACCTGCCCCTCTATTAATGCAGATCTCTTGTAAGCTGCTTTCCCGCTTGCATCCCATAGAAAGGAGCACTGCTGCTTTCTGTGCTTCCAGCCCTTCTTCGCTCTTCTGCTAAAGCTAAGTAGCCATTAAAATAACTGCATCAAATTAGCAAGGCCCTCTGTAGTGGGAAGCAGCAGGCTAGTGCTGCCAAAGCGAGTACATTAATCCATTCCCTAGCCTACAATGTTGGCTAAGATGCTTTCCCCTATTGCCACTTCTGTTCTGCCAAGCAGATGGGCAATCCAGCTCTGTGCTAATGCGGTGAATGCTGCCTGCCCAGTTCTAGCCTCCTTTGATTCCTCTGTCCCGAGTGTTTTGCCTCTCTGTCTTTGCAGGTTACTCAGAAGACGGGGGTGCCCTGAGAGGAGAGGTTATCCCAGAGCATGAGTTTGCAACAGGACCCGTGTGCCTTGATGATGAGAATGAGTTCCCTCCTGTGAGCATTAGAAGTCTCTAAAACAGCAATACAGCTGAGAAGAAAGTATTAACCTCTTACAGCAGAGATGTGTTTCTTCTCTCCCTGTTCTGCCCTAGTCTCTTATTATCACTAATTCTGTATGAGGACACTGCCGGGAAATTTCTACCCTCACAGCTGAGGCGAGATGGAGGAGAGGCCTGCAAGATTTAATGCTAATTAGAGATGGGCTCAAACACCCCCCCCCAAATCTGCACGCCTGCGGACCTGGGAAAAGGTCTGAACTGGGCGTATCTCTAATAGTGAGAGAGAGCAGAAGCTTTTATTGCAACCATAGAAAAGGGTTTTTAAAAGGAAATAAATCCTGCAGGATTTTTCAGCCCACTGGGGTACAGCACTTACAAGTCATCAGGGCAAATATGAAACTGCTGATCCATCCTTTAATTTCCAAACAGAGTGAAATGCAAAATGTTCCCCCCCATCCCAGCATAAGCAGTGAAAACCATACCACAATCGGCAATTTCTAGTATTTTAACAGGGCATTAGTCACTGGGCAGCAACATCTTGGCTTTTTAAAACTGACTGTGCGCCTGGCCATGTCTTTCCAATCCTTATCCAAGTATTTTACTATGTTATGCATTTATTGTTTTAGTGGGCATCTAGATATTGGTTACCTCTGATGATTGTTGAGAGTAGTTAGTAGCATCTTGGTAATCATAACACGTTAATACAGCAGAGCATTTTGAGTAGAGCAACTTGCTGAGGCATTTGAGAACAGGCAACGCTTGAGTTTTTCCACCCGTCCTACGACAGGAGCTTTGCCAGGGTGAGGAGGGAGTAGAAATCACACAAAGGTCTCAGAACTGGGCCCCCAACCTGCGGCTGAAGCTTTCAGATCTGTGTAGGGGATTAAGGATACTGACCTCCTTTGTAAAGCACTTTGAAATCAGGTCTACATGAGACCTGACTAGCCAGCATCCCCATTAAACTCTGCTGCAATTCAGAGCTCGCAGTGCTCTCATCCTGCACAATATACTTTCCTGGTGTTGTCTGTGCTGTGCTTGACTCCAAACCTGGAATGAACATTTTCTCCAGTTGTTTCTCCTACCCCTCTGGGCACCTAATCAGGGTACTTAATTTTGCAATTTGCAGGGGTAGAAAGTACCTCTCTGCTGAGGTTTAGTCCCTGGGGGTAGTAAAATGAATGTCCTCTTGAGAGGGAGCAAGGTCCAGGAGGAATTGCTGTGCTTGTTTCCAAGGAGCCTGTCCTTGAAGGCATGGTCTAGGGACAAGCATGTGCCAACAAGCAGGAGCTGAGCTAGGCTCGAGTGAGTCTGCATGCTGTGAGCAGATTGAACAGAAGCAGCCCGATCCCCCCGCTGTACAACAGCAGGCTCTTTATGTAATGAACTTTGATCTGTCAGAGCCTGGTGCTGTAATTAACTCAAGGGAACAATTTATACGTGTGACTCAGGAAGAGGGAGGGGACTTTCCAAAAATATTCCTTAGTGGAGAGACAGAGCAGTAGGAGCTCAGATACAGCATCTGTCGCTGGGCCTGTGCTTCGCCTGCTATGAGCTGAAAGTCGACCCTGTGGCCAATTCACTTGCTAGCTTGGGAGCTCACTCGGGCCATGCTAGCTGGGCAGAGGTGGTCAGAGCAATTCTGACAAATGCCTTTTTACTGAGACATGCTGCTTTGTTGAAGCCACTGCATTTCACTTTCCACAAAATATTCCAAGGAGAGATTCCTGGGGTCCAAGGTGGCCTCCCTTGTCACCTCCGACTAGAAAGAGAGAGAAGAGAGAAGCAAATTGACAAAGAGGTTTGGGCACAATCCCAGTTCAGGGCAGCAGGGGGGAGGTTTGGTCCTGTCTGAGGTCCAACAAAAAGTTTCCCAAACCTCTCAAGTTGTCACAAGCAGAGCAGCTGTCCCTCCCTCCAGCTCTACTCGTTGGCTTATGCTGCGACAGGCCCTTGTGGAAAGAGCAACACGCAATAGTCCTTTCCTGCAGTTCTTGTTTTAAAATGCTTTGCCTTCTCCTGCCCTTGGTCACTGGTGAACTAAACACAAGCGAGCAAGGCTTCAGAGAGATCTTGGGCCGGATTCAAAATCTATTGCTAGCTATAGAAGGAGGCCGCTTAATTTGAAAAGGGAAGGCCAGACCTGAGATCTCAAAGAGAAAAGATGAACCGCCCAAGTGGCATGATTTAAAAACAGACTTGAATGAAAAGTTGTTTGGATGTTGTTATTCACGATACCAACTGCTGTGTGCTGTGGAAAGTGTAGCGACAAGGAAGACAAGATCAATCGCTTGCGTTGCTTGTGGCGAGAGGAATAGTTTGGATTCCAGGAGGTCCCCCAGGAACTGCTGTTTGTTTTGTGTGGCAGGCGCTCGGATGCGACAGTCCGGGGCAACAGTGCAAACCCAGTGAAAGACATCGTAGTTTTGGTCCCCTTCAGAAAGCTGACTTGGTGGGAGGGCTTAGCAGTGCATAGGATTATACAGCTCCCTTCTCACTAATAAGAAATCCTTGTAGGGAGAAGCAAGCCCACTTCTGCTTAGTGAGCACACAGTTCTGGTTTTAAATGCCGCTCTATAGGGCACGACTGCAGGGATAGCATTCATACCTCAGTTCAGTTGGATTTTTGTTAAGCATCAAGAGCCAAAGAATCTCATTCAGGAGCATTATGTGGAGCCTAAAAGCAGGAGAGATCTTTATTGTTCTTACTCCTAGCTGGCAACTGCATGGCAGGCCAGTATTAGGAGCCAATGGCTGGTGCTTGAAATGCAAAAGTAGCTCTTGAAATGGCTTCTATGCTCGGTGCCCTTTGTTTGGGTACCTCAAAAGGGCAGGCAGCTGAAGGACACTGCTGCCACTACAGACACACAGCACCCACTGACAATACGAGTATCAATGAGAAAATGGGTCCTGAAGACTGGACAGTTTACCCATACCTTCCTTAGGTTGCAGACTGGATTGCTGAGTGGCCAGTTGATTCTTGCAGCTTGAGCAGAGGTACCCTCACACTGCAGTATATAACCTAGTGTTCCTGTTTGGCCAGATGGGAAATTTTGTTTAGGCAGCCCATTGAAGTGGTTGTTCTGTTATGTGCCAGCTTTCTTTACTAACTTTGTATTGCACTCAGCATACATTAGCTGCAGGATTAGAAGAATGCTCATTGCATCCAGCATGCCATACTTAGCGGATGGTCTAATCGTGATGATCAGAGAGTTAACAAGCCTGGCTTTGCACAAAGCAGCTTAGTCCCTAAGGCAGGCTAAAGGTGACATTGTGACCTCGTTACACAGCCAAGGTCCTACAACAAGCACAGGTAAGAGCTTTGCACTAGATATGCTTGCAGCAACATGGCTGCCTGTCCAGCAGCAGGTGTCCACGTGGCACAAAACTGAACAGGGCTTTCCCATAGCTTTGCAAAGGTGGACAGAAAAGCTTCCCAAAGATCAGTACTAAAAGTTTCATTTCCCGCACAGACCAAATTCTTAGCATGCCCAAGGTGACACTGTCAGCATGCCCAAGGGGGAACTACTTGGGGTACATATTGCCAACATTTGCCTGCTCATTTCCAATGTCTTCCTCATGCTGTTTGTATCATCGTCACTTGGCTACATAGACATTTGACACTCAGATGAATTTTTAGCTGTTTCTTTAGAGTCATCTCTTAAGATAACGAAGAGTCAAAGCGCCTCTGTGGAACTCTGTTGTCTATTAACAGTGCTCCAGGATGCTTCACCGAGGGCAGCCTTAGTGGAAGTATAGCTATCATTTGCTTCCTTAAGGCAACTCCTGAGTCAGTGGCTTGGAAGGGAGTTTGGCCTGATTAAGCCTTGCAGGCAGAAGGACACCCACAACACACCCAGGTATGATGACTGTAGCTTGATCAGCTTGGTGATGGTTAATCCAGTGCCGCTGCACACAAAGATTTGGTCATTTGTGTTTCTGAAAGTCCTTAAGCCATGGCCCCCAGTTCAGCTACCAGCCTCCTGAGAGCAAAATCTCTTGGGGAAAATGTCTGAGAAAAATACACCACTGTAAGAGAGTACTGAATGCATCTCCATCAGGACAAAAACCTGCCTGGGGATGGCAGGCCCCACTGGAGACCTGTGAATGAACGTGGCCATTTGTGTTTGGTGGGGAGGCTGAACCCTTCTGGGCGCAGGGCGGGTGGGAAAGTCCGAGCACCGCAGCTCTGCCAAGGTACTTTCCAGGACAGGGTGCAGATAGCCACCAAATATCTCCACTGCTTTGCTGTGGCTTGTGCTGGGCTAGCTGGTATGAAGTTGCTGTTGAAAGTTCTTGCTCTTGTGTATCTCATGGCTGTGTGCGGAGGAAGTGGTGATACTAGTTGCAGGGGTTAAGAGCTGAAATATTACGATCAAGCTTGGTCTACTTCTCTTGTGTCCTGGATGAGGCGCTGGCTGGATCAAGGCTCTGTGCATCACCCAGCCAGATTGTTCCTGTTCTCACTGCTGTAAATGTAGGGCAAAAAAATAAATGACCTACAACTCCCCCCACCTCCCTCGGGACAGAAGGTCAAGCACTGCATGGTGCCTTCCCTCCTCTCCCCTGCAAGCACAGTATTGATTTGAACACACCCTGCTTAACAGCCTGTTGCTGCGGAAAGTAAGGCAGTTCTGTTTTGATTTTGGTAGATAAACTTGTGCCGTGGAAGTCTGTCGGGCAAAGTGAAGAGGTCATGATGAGAAGCACGCGGCAGCATTCGGGACAGCGCTGGGAGGTGGTTTGGAAAAGCCAGGAATGTGGAAGAACGCATTTGTGAGTGCCCCCGGGGGGAACGGTCCGAACTGCTCTGTTCCCTTTACTACGGTCTGATCAAGTGATTATTACCTGCCCCTGCTGGCCCTTTGTGTGGAGTGGTATATGGGTGTGGTATAAACGTACTGTATGCACATTGCTATATTTAACAAATGATATATTAGAACCACAGTGTAAATGCTAACTTAACTAGATTTCTATGTAACCTGAATTTTATATATATGGATTTCCTCTTTTCTAATTTAAGCTGTTTCATGTGTATAAATGTACCAATAGGAAAGTCTATTAAACTACATCTTTGTACAGTACCCATGCAAAATGTTTTTGCAGTGGTATTGGGAAAGTCACAACTTATTCCATTTGAATAAGTAATAAAGTTGTCATGTGTCAGCTGCTCCCTGAGTTCTTGCTGTTCTTTGCAGGGCCCTAAAGATGTCAGTCTTGATTTAGTTTTATTAACAGAACCACAGCTAGTCTTGGTTTTCGGTGTGCAAACAGCTTCCCACTTGCCTCTGCCGGGCCTAGATCTGTTGTTTTCTAAGTGAAGGACGTTACCTAGCGGGAAGTGAGACTCAAGGCTGCCGCCGCCTCTGAACTGGCTTACAAACCCTACACAGCCCCTGTGAACCGCAGCGCAGTGGTCTGGGAGGTGTGATGCTGGCTGCTTGTTGCAACTGAGACGCCAGTCTGCTGTAGCCTTAGACAGGTCACTTAGATGACCAAGTTCCACCCAAGGTTGTTTTTTGTTTGGATCGTCCCTCAAGCCAACAGCTGGTGTATAAAAGCCCTGCTGAGCTGCCACCTAACCCTGGCAATGCTTGAACTCTACAGACATCTTGGGGTTTTTTGCTTTTTAAAAGTTCCTCTGCCTTTGCCCAGAATTGTCACAGTCTGAGCAGCAAAGTGCTTCGCTCACCCTGAGCCTGATCACAGTTCAGGCACTAGGTGTTTCTCTGCCCAAGTCCCCAAAGAGCGCAGCCTGGCAGTGTTTTCAAAGGATGCCTGGTGCCCACGACCAAGCTGGGGCTCCCTACAACAGTCCAGTGTGACTGCCATTTCCCTGGGTGGAGCTGGAGGAGAGGCCCACCTTTCATTTTGATGAAATAGCCCAATGGTTAAAAGTCCCATGGGGGTGGTGGGAGACCTGGGTCAATCCCACTGTAGCCTCAGGGAGTCCACACCCACATCTCTCACAGGAGTTTCCTAATCAACATGCCTGCAGTTGTTGGGGAGAGGGGGAATCCTCATGCTCACCTTCCCAGAGACGCACACATGGCAGAAAAATCCATGATCAATGCCACCCCTTCCCTGCAACACTAACCCCTGGAGGCAACATCAGCCAATCTACTAGCCCCATAATAAAAGGGACAGATTGAACTAATACCTGATTAAGCCTGAGAGTGTGTTGACTGCGTAGTCCCACTGTGGTCTGGGTTGCGGCAAGGTTGGCATCGGCAGACTACGTGCTGTGGATTGCAGCAGGGCGTTGCAGCTGGGTTGCGGGAGTAATCGGCGGTAGACACGTTGTCTGTTGCAATGTCCTGCAGGATGTTGGCGAAAGCCCTGGTTACTGCAGGAAACATGGCCTGGTACTCGCTGGACTTCGTATCCAAAGGCTCCTGCTCCTGGGCATCACGCTCCAGATTAAATATGAGTGGTGGGTCATGATGCTCCTCCAGCCCAATGCTCCCATCACAAGCTTTTGCTCCCCCTGAAACAGAACCACAACAATGTGTTCCAGGGGCCGAGGGACCCTGCTGCAGGGTCATTCCTCGCCAGCTGTGCTAGACTTGTAAGGGGATGTCGCAAGTAGCAGGTAGCTCTCCAAGGAAGGGTCCTAGATGAGACAGAACTACAGCAAACAAGCTGATCAGAGGCAAGGAACTAAGTAGGACACACCTCTCATCCCTAGCCCAGTTCCCACACTGCTGGGCTTTGTGTAACCAGCTGGAAGCAGAAAGCAAGCCCCTTTTCATGTGGAGCTAGGCTAGGAAACGCAGACGTTTCCTAGGGTACAGCTGCACCATGGGAGAAGCTGCCATAAGAGCCTCTCCAGCTCACTGGGGATGGTGCTAGCACAAGCAATGCATGAAGTGCAGGCCAGAGACTTGCTCCACAATTTAGCAAAGGCCTTGCCTGAAAGCCTTCAGTAAGTACAGCTCTGAAACTCTGCTGGGTCAGAAACCCCAGCTGGGTTTCAAATCCTTCAATGTGGTGGCCTTAGGGTTTGCAGGGGAGGACCCCAGGATGATGTGGTGGTGAAACGATGGTTTTGGAAAGCTCTACACACAAGGAAAACATAGCAAGGTGTCCTGGGGTGCTGGAGTCTGAGTTGCTGTAAAAGGGGAGAGCAAAACAAAAAGGGAAAATACAAGGTACACCAGAATAGCCACAAAGCTGCTCAGGTTAAACATCAATGTGGGGAGGCCAGATGCTGGCACTGACTGGTGAAGCTGACACCCACCAAGTGCTGTGGATGGAGGTAGGCCCAGTAGATCTGAGGCCGAGTGAGGGACTGACTTTGGTCAGCCACCCTCTGAGGGTAAATGGATGTGAGCTCTTCCACAAAGCACCGAGGGAAAAAGCACTCCCGAGACTGCTGGGGTTTCTCATCAAGAGCCTTCATCTCCACCTATTTTTTAAATGCCTCTGGCTGTCCCCTTCCCATAGCTTTGTTTCCAGACATCACCAGTTCCCAGTGGAACTGGTGATGTCTGGAACAGTGACCAGTGGAGCAATGGCACCAGCAATAGCACTGTGGCAAAAAGTCAGCAGGATACTCAAGCGCCTATCTGCCTTTGAGCACGTCTGTCGAAGTCACGGGTCTGCGTGTCTTGCTGAGTCTGAGCAGGAGCTGCCTGTGCTCTGTGAGGTGTCTGCAGCCCTGAAGCCTGCATCCTACCTTTACTGCAAACCTGTTTCAAAGGCCACCTTTGCAGTGCACAGCTTATCTCCTTTGCTCAGCCATCAGCAAATGCAGGAGAGATGCTCCTGGGAGGGGGCAGCTCATTGATAGTTTCACAGTTAGTAGGGTCGAAAGGGACCTGAGCAGATCATCAAGTCTGACCCCCTGCCATGGCAGGAAAGAGTACTGGGGTCAAACGACCCCAGCAAGGTGACTGTCTAGCCTTGTCTTAAAGACCCCCAGGGTAGGAGCCAGCACCACTTCTCTTGGAAGTTGGTTCCAGATCCTAG